CTTGTTCTCAAGCTGGAGTGCGATGGTATGATCTCGGCTCTCTGCAACCTCTGCCTTCCAGGTTCAAGCAATTCTCCTGCCTCAGCCTCCCGAGTAGCTGGGATTACAGGTGTATACCACCACGCCTGGCTTATTTTTGTATTTTTAGTAGAAACAGGGTTTTACCATATTGGCTAGGCTGATCTCGAACTCCTGACCTCAGGTGATCTGCCCGCCTTGGCCTTCCAAAGTGCTGGGGTTAACAGGGGTGAGCCACTGTGCTTGGCCTACACCTGGCTGATTTTTAAATTTTTTTGTAGAGATGAGGTCTCTCTATGTTGCCCAGGCTGGTCTTGAACTCCTGGCCTCAAGCAATCTTCCCACCTCAGCCTCCCAGAGTGCTGGGATTTGCAGGCATGAGCCACCACATTCAGCTAATGTTGACCATCTTTTAATGTGCATATTTGCCCTCCGCATCTTTGGTGAATCTTCTGTTTAAATCTTTTGCCCGTTGAAAAATTGGATTGTTGGCCAGGCACAGTGGTTCTCACCTGTAATTCCAGTACTTTGGGGGGCCAAGGTGGGAGGACTGCTTGAGCCTAGGAGTTTGAAACCAGCCTGGGCAACATAGCAAGACCATGACTCTACATACATACACACAAATAGCCAGGCGTGGTGGTCTGCACCTATAGTTCCAGCTACTTAGGAGGCTGAGTCAAGAAGGTCACTTGAACCCCAAGAGTTTGAGATTACAGTGAGCTATGATCACACCACTGTACTCCAGTCTGGGTGACAGAGCAAGACCGTTTCCAAAAAAAAAAGGAAAAAAAATTGTGTTGCTAGTTTTCTGTTGTTGAGTCTGAGAGTTCTTTGTATTTATATTGGATACAAGTGCTTTTTCAGATACACGATTGGCAGATTTTTCTCCTCTGTGGCTTATTTTATTATTAACAGTGCTTTTCAGAAGAGTTCCTAATTTTGATGAGGTCTAATTTATTATTTTTATTCTCTCATGGATTATGCTTTTAGTGTGGTATCTAAAACATCTTTACCTAACCTGGGGTTACAAAGATTTTCTTCTAGAAGTGTTATAGTCTTAGGTTTTACATTTAGGTCTGTGATTCATTTTAAGTTAATTTTTGTATGTGGTGCAAGAAGGATACAAATTCATTTTTTTCACATAAAGGTATCAGACTGTTTTAGTCTTATTTGTTGAAAAGACTTGACTTCTTACTACTGAATTGCGTTTGCTCCTGTATAAAAAAATCAGTTTTTCATATTTGTGTGGTTCTATTTCTGTGCTCTTTTTTCTGTTCTACTGATGTACTTGTCTATTTTAATGTTAATATCATACTGTCCTGATGGCTGTAGCTTTATAATAAATCTTGAAATCAGTATTGTTAACTCTCATTTTAAAGTTATTTTGGTCATTCTAAGTCTTTGGCATTTCCATATGAATTTTAGAATCAGCTTGGCAATTTCTACCAAAAAGATTGCTGCTGGGATTTTGATTGGAACCTTTTTTTTTTGTTTTGTTTTGTTTTTGAGACAGGGTCATACTCTGTTGCCCAGGCTGGAGTGCAGTGGCATGATCATGGCGCACTGCAGACTCGACCTACTGGGCTCAAGTGACTCTCCCACCTTAGCTTCCCAAGTAGCTGGAACCACAACCGTGCATCACTGTGCCTGGTTAATTTTTTTATTTTCTGTAGAGACAACGTCTCATTATGTTGTTGCCCAGCCTGGTCTCAAACTCTTGGACTCAGGCAATCTTCCCACCTTGGCCTCCCAAAGTGCTGGGATTACAGGTGTGAGCCACTACACCTGACTTATTGGAATTTTATTGAATCTATAGATCAATTTGGGGATAGTCGATATCTTAACAGTGAGCCATCTAACTCATGAATATCATCTTTTCTATTTATTTGAGTCTTCTTGAATTTATCTCAGCAATATTTTGTAATTCTTAGTATACGAGCCTCAAACACTTCCCCCCCATATTTATCTCTCTATATTTCATTTATTTTGTTGTAATTGTATATGTTATTTTTAAAATTTCAATTTCTGATTGTTCGTTGCTAATATATAGAAATATAGTTTATTTTATACGTTGATATTGAATGCTGCAACCTTGCCAAATCACTTATTATTTCTGTTAGCTTTCTTATAGGCTTCATTTAATTGTCTTTATAAGTTATCATGTTGTCGCTAATAAGACAGTTATATTTTTTTCCTTCCAATATGGATATTTAAAAATTTTCCCCCTTATTTCATGGGCTAGAACCACCAGTATAATGTTGACTAGGAATAATGAGAATGGATATCCTTTCCTCATTCCCGATCTTAGGGGGAAAGTATTCAATCTTTCTCCATTATGTATGTTGTTAGCTATACGTTTTCATCAGGTTGAGGAAGTTCTCTTCTGCACCTAGTTTGCTGGCAGTTTTTAATCAGGAATAAATGTAAAATGTCAGGCTGGGGGTGGTGGATCATGCCTGTAATCCCAGCACTTTGGGAGGCCAAGGCGGGTGGATCACCTAAGGTCAGGAGTTCGAGACCAGCATGACCAACATGGTAAAACGCCATCTCTTCTAAAGATACAAAAATTCGCTGAGCGTGGTGCCGGGTGCCTGTAATCCCAGATGCTTGGGAGGCTGAGACAGGAGAATCTCTTGAACCTGGGAGGTGGAGGTTGCAGTGAGTCAAGACTGTACCATTGTACTCCAGCCTGGGCAACAAGAGTGAAACTTTTTTTTTTTTTTTTTTTTTTTTTTTTTTTTTTTTTTGGGTTTTTTTTTTTTTTTTTTTTTTTTTTTTTTTTTTTTTTTTTTTGGGATGGAGTCTCGCTTTGTCACCCAGGCTAGAGTGCCATGGCAAAATCTTGGCTTGCGGCAATCTTCGCCTGCCAGGTTCAAGTGATTCTCCTGCCTCAGCCTCCTGAGTAGGTGGGATTACAGGCACACTACCACACCCGGGTAAGTTTTGTATTTTTTTAGTAGAGATGGGGTTTCACCCTGTTGTCCTGGCTAGTCTCAAACTTCTGACCTCAGGTGATTTGCTTGCCTTGGCCTCCCAAAATTCTGTGGTTATAGGCATGAGCCACTATGCCTGGCCCTCATTTAGTTTTTTAATGCAGTAAATTACATTGATTGATTCAACTGTTCAACTAACCTTACATTCTTGGGATAAACCATACTGGTTATATTGCATCTTACTTTTAAAAAATTTAATGGATTACACGTTTTTAAATTGTGGTAAATATACGTAACAAAATTTACAGTTTAACAGTTTTTAAGTATACAGTTCGGTAGTAGTAAGTGCATTCACAGTGTTGTGTAACCATTATCACCACCCATCTCCAGAACTTTTTTTCCTTGCAGAACTGAAACTCTGTACCCGTTAAACAATAACTCTCCATTTCCTACCCACCTCCCCAGCCCTGGGTAACCATCATTCTACTTTCTGTATCTATGAGTTTACTCTATGTATCTCATATAATTCGAATCATACAGTTTTTATCCTTTTGTATCTGGCTTATTTCACTTTGCATAGTGTCATCAAGGTTTCCTCATATTGTAGCATGTGCCAGAATTTCCTTCCTTTTTACAGTTGAATAATATTCTATTATATGTATATACCACAATTTATTTGTCTATTAATAGAAATATGTGTTGCATTTCATTTACCTTTTGGCTATTGTAAATAATGCTACTATGTGTATTGTCCTTTTTTATGTATTGTTTGACTTAACTGGCTAAAATTTTGTTAAGAATTTTTACATATATATTCGTAAGGGCTCTTGGTCTGTGTATATTTTTTCTTATAATACTTTTATCTTTTTTGGTGTAAGAATAGTGCTGTCCTCGTAGAGTGAATTGGGAAGTTTTTCTTCTTGTTCAAATTTCTGAAAGTGTTAATTTGTTGTGGAGAATTGGTATTGTTTCTTTCTTAAATGTTTAGTAGACTGTCAATAAAGCCATCTGAGCCTGGAGTTTTCTTTGTGAGAAAGCTTTTAATGACAAATTCAATTTTTGAATAGATATAGGCCTATAAATTTTTTTTTTTTTTTTTCTTTTTTTTTTTTTTTTTTTTTTTAGTGAGCTTTAGCGGTTTGTGTCTTTTTAGAATTTGTCCATTTCATCTACGTTAGGACCATCAACTATTATCTGTGACCTAAATCTGGTTTGCTGGCTGTTTTGGGTAAATAAAGTTTTATTGGAATGTGGCCATATTAATTTGTCTATGTATTGTCTGTGGCTATTTTTGTGTTACAGTGGCAGAGTTGAGTAGTTGCAAAAGAAATGCTGTGGCCTGAAAAATATTGACTGGCCTTTTGCAGGAAGTTTATCAGCCTCTGATCTACAGTTTCAACTTTGGTCACGGCTCACTGCAGCCTTGACTTCCCAGGCTCAGGCAATCCTCCCACCTCAGCCTCCCAGGTAGCTGGGATAACAGCTGTGTGCCACCACACCCAACTAATTTTTGTATTTTTTGTAGTGATAGGGTCCCACTATGTTTCCCAGGGTGGTCTTGAATTTCTGGGCTCAAGTGGTCTACCTGCTTTGGCCTCCCAAAGTGCTGGGGCTATAGGAATGAGCCACCATACCCTGCCCTTTTTTAGTTTCTTAAGGTGGAAGCTGGGGTCATTAGTTTAAGAACTGTCTTCATTCCTAATATAGGTGTATAGTGGTATAAATTTCTCTTTAAGTACTGCTTTAGGGATGCTAAAATTTTGATACCTTGTGTTTTCACAAGGAATGGGATCAGGGAAGTTTTCAAAGATTCTAGTAATCTCTTTCTTAAGGTGGGTGGTAGGTATATGGATACATTTGTTTATTTGTACAATTATTCTTTATATTTTACACATATAAATATTCTTTTGAGTGTATTCTGTATTTAACAAGGAACTTCTTAAAAATGTGAATGGGAGGTAATGATGTAATCATCTGGTAGGTAAACAACTCTTTTAACGATTATATTGTGAAGTGAAGCAGAAAAAGGGGATAGTAATTTTAAAATGATGTGAGATAAAAGGGGAGATTATTTTTGTATTGTTTTGTTTTAAAGGTGGGTGATTCTGAAGTGAATTTACTGATTTAAATAACAGTCATAAACCTTATGAAACCATACAAGTAGCAGATATAAAAGTCATATCCTGATGTGAAAATTGATGTGTTTAACCAAAACTCTTGCTTTAGAAAATAGTGCTACCTAAATTTTTTCTTAGATAGCAGTTTGAGTTCTGCTCCAATACAAAAAACAAATACTTCATTGAGTTCCAAGAATTCCCTATCGAAAACGATGGCCAAATTATCTTGGCCTAAAACATTTTCACGTCAGATATTGTAATCAGTTACATGTCAATATAAATTAAAAATAATGACCTCTTAAAAGTAGTCATAAGGCTGGGTGTGGTGGCTCAATGCCTGTAATCCGAGCACTTTGGGAGGTGGAGGTGGGTGGATCACTTGAAGTCAGGAGTTCAAGACCAGCCTGGCCAACATGGTGAAACCCCGTCTCTATTAAAAATACAAAAATTAGCTGGGTGTGGTGGTGCATACCTGTAATCCCAGCTACTCAGAAGGCTGAGGTAGGAGGATCACTTGAACCTGGGAGGCAGAGGTTGGAGTGAGCCAAGATCATGCCACTACACTCCAGCCTGGGTGACGGGTAAAATTCCATCTCAGAAAAAGAAAAGTAGTTATAAAAGAGTAAGATTAAGGTAAAAAGAAATTATTCTCATTTACTGGAGGATAAGCAGCGAAATAAGCTGTTTGCAGCCAGTTATCTGTACTATGCCTATTTATTTAATGACATATAACCTCAGGATGTTTCATAAGACAACTGAGTAATTACTGACCTGTGCAATTTATTTGATTTCTGTAGACAGTAAAACATAGTTGAATAGTTAATTGCTTTTTTTCTCTATCTCTTTTTTTGGTCTTTATGGCATGTCTTGCCAGTCATCTTTTTTCTCTCCAATAGGTTGTGTGGTTCCTGGGGCTGGTGCAGTTGAAGTGGCAATGGCTGAAGCTCTTGTTACATACAAGAACAGAGTAACAGGAAGAGCTCGTCTTGGAGTCCAAGCTTTTGCTGATGCTTTACTCATTATTCCCAAGGTATAGCTACCCTTTCTGCCAAATAACAACTGGTTAGACACAAGGTGTTTAATTACAAATTGCCCATATTATCTGATAGTTAATGGAGTAGACAGACAGGCATTTATAGGCATTTCCTTATGCAGTTTTCTCTTAGATATTTTACAACTAAAGCAGGGAAACTTTTGAGATAACAGCCTAGAATCCTTGCACTGTCTCATGAAATAGCCTAAGCTTACCCCCTTGTTTGCTCCTCTGAGTTCCAAAAATTACAGTGGCTCCAAAAATTTCCTTCAGAAATGACTCATGATTAATCATAATGAAAAAGTTTAGAACTTAAAATTTAGTTAGATTTTACGATACATCTTTGCTTTGTTAGTGTTATCCAAATGCAATCAATTTGTAAAGAGTGAGGACTTAGGGCTGTTTAGCATTCCTAGATATAACCTTGCGTTTGTCATCACCATTATAATTCCTAGAAAAAGAGAAAACAGAATTTTTCCATGTGGCAACCTAAGGACAGAAAACAACCATTCCTTTCTAGTTGCCTTAATTGGTTTTGAACCATCTTAGAAATATCCTAAAACTACTTTAAAGATGCTATCACCATGAATTAAAACATTATTGACAATACTAGCAAAATCTCTTTGCTAATTTCTATTAAAATTATTCATAATTTGTGAAATCTTTGTGAATTAGATTTCTATTTTTTCTTTCCCTAGAGCAGCAAAGTCAGTATGATCCTGTTGTTGACAGAAATTGGTAACCCTAGAATACATTGGTGGTACCTTTTTCCTCATCAGCTGGTGATTTGGGACCACTTGGAAATGAGCCTGGTTTGGAGTGTGGGTATCTCCAACCCTGTTACCACAGGTCATGGCTTTCCTCATGAAGATGAGGGGCACAAAGGTGCTGCAGATACTCTGGTTTCCCTAGCCTAGGAAGAATTGGAGGGTATGTGGCTAGCAGCACTAGAGGAAACAAGAACATCACTGTACTTCCTTCCACACCAAAAAAAAACAAAAAACAAACAAACAAAAAAACCTTTTGCAAGGAGGGAAATGAATGTAGTGGGCTGGAAATGGGGAACTCTGATGTCCTCAGAATTTAGTGTGATGTGCAAAGGGGAAATGTTTAAGTAAATATAAAAACTACTAGATAGATGAAATAATAATTTGATTTAGATTAAAAGTGGAAAAAGGAGATGATTGCCATGTTATAGGTGTGTTTTTACAAGACTAAAGAGTATTTTTATATTTGATATATGTGAAGGTATTATGCATCTATATTTATTTATTTTTTTATTCCTAAGGTTCTTGCTCAGAATGCTGGTTATGACCCACAGGAAACACTAGTAAAAGTTCAGTCTGAGCATTTCGAATCAAAACAACTTGTTGGCATAGATTTGAATACAGGTAAGAAAGTGAAGGAAAATTAGCTGCTTAATAAAGAGATTATTCTTTAGTTATCCAGATCTTCCAGTAAAGGAGTGGAGGTTTGGGTAACTTTAATGTTTAAATTTTAGATGCCTTTAATTTATTTTCAACCTTCTTAAAAATATTCATTCATTTAAGAAATAGATATTAAGTGCTTGTTTTCCTCTTGGGCTTCACATAGAACAAAACAGACAAAATTATCTGCCCCTGGGAGCTTATGTTGTAGTGGGAGAAGGTAGGCAGTAAATAATAACTTTAATAAATAAACTCCTTCAGCATTTTAGAAAGTAATGAATTATATGAAAAAGAGTGATATAATAATGATCATGAACGCTAGTGCAGGAGGGTGGAGAAAGAATGGCAGCTTAAAGAGGTTGATCAGGTTAGGCATCATCAAGAAGATGTCTGTTGAAAAAAAGTGGAAGGAAGTGAGGAAATTAGCCATTTGGGCAACTGGGGTTAAGTGTTCTAGGGAAAGGGAACAACCAGTGGAAAAGCCAGTGTCTGATGTTTTTGAGGAAGGAGGAAGGAGGTGTGAGAGGTGACAAAAGGTCACATCATGCAAAGGTATTTGGGCCAGTCTCAGGACTTTGGCTTTTCCTTTAGAGGAGCAGGGAGCAATTTTGAGTAGAGGTGTGACATGGCCTAATTAATTAATTTATGGGACAGTCTGGTTCTGTCGCCCAGGCTGGAGTTCAGTGGCATGATCTCAGCTCACTGTAACCTCTGCCTCCCAGGTTCAAGCATTTCTCCAGCTTCAGCCTCCCGACTAGCTGGGATTAACAGGTGCCAGCTGCCATGCCTGGCTAATTTTTGTATTTTTAGTAGAGACAGGATTTCATCATGTTGGCCAGGCACATGGCCTAATTATGTTTAGGAGGATCACTCTGGCCACTTTCCACTCTGTAGAGAAGTCAGCTGAATAAGCAGAAGGTTGGAGTTGTAATCAATTGTGGTGGAAAAGATTGGCTAGAGCAGGTTGTGGGTGAGAAGACATCAGCATTCAGTTTGGCAGTGTCAAGGTTGAAGCATCTGCAATCTTTTAATTAAAGAAGTTGGGCCAGGCGCAGTGGCTTACACTTGTAATCCCAGCACTTTGGGAGGCCAAGGTGGGTGGATCACCTGAGATCAGGAGTTAAAGACCGGCCTGGCCAACATAGTGAAACCTCGTCTCTACTAAAAATACTAAAAATTATCTGGGCATGGTGAAATGCACATGTAATCCCACCTACTCAGGAGGCTGAGGCAGGAGAATCACTTGAACCAGGGAGGCGGAGGTTATGGTGAGATGAAGTCTTGCCATTGCACTTCAGCCTGGGCAACAAGAATGAAACTCTGTCTCAAAAAAAAAAAAAAA